CTCGTCAACATCCAATGCATGGATATTTATTTTTCGGAAGGGGGGTGTGGGGGGGCTGAGGGAAAGCAGGAAGGGCGGTGGTGTTGGTGGAGGAGGGATGAAGGAGTCTTGTCACATTACATGTACCTGTCTGTGCACGTCTTCACTTGCAGCTGTCATCCCACCTGACAGGTCTATCAGTGTCCACGGCTGATCAGAACGCGTCCCTCAGCCTGACAGCAGGAACCGACAGCGCCCAATCCAGACTGACAGCTCCTCAGGTAGCTGGTGGGGGGGGGGAATCTGAGGGCGAGAGGCGAGACAAAGGCCGCAGAGGAGTAAAAGAGCACCCACACAACAAGAAGAGTAAATTAAAGTCTCGGAAATAATCCAGCCGGCATGACTGATCTCCATTTCCTGAATTGAACCCATCTGATACTAAAGAGATTCTTACTCATTGCTAGCCTACACATTACCTTTAACAACCTCCATTAAAGCCCAGAATCCTGTTTCTCGTGAAGAAGCAGTGTGAGTATTTTAAAGCAAATTGAGGCTAATCTTTAAGACAATCAAGCACATTGAACCAAGGCCAAACTGCTAGCTTAACGCAGGGGAGCCGATAGATGTGTTCCAAGAAAAACCCAAACATCTGCGGGATGTGCTTTGGTTAACCCATGAAAGGTTTAAATTGGGGTTTCTATGATCGCACCTTAGGGGGAAATGAGGAGGGAGTCCCCCTCCGCTCCTTCCTCGACAAAAATCTGTCTTTATCTTGTCCAAAGCCATCAAGAACAAGCCCTTTCCAGAACGCCTCGACAACGCGCAGTCGAGACAAAACGGGCAAACCTACGAGCTGCAGAGCGAAGACTCCATTGATCAGCTTAGTTACGCTCTCCTGGCTTCTGGTTTACCAGGAGTAATTAGCAATTAACAATCAGGGTTTAACTAGATCCAGTTATTATCTGTAAGCAAGTGGGGGGGAGAAAAAGATCTTCCGCTTTGACTTGGGAGTGCGTTAGAATTCCCGTGTTACTCGAGTTTGGTGCAGAAAAGAAGAGTGAGGGACCGGAGCAGTAATTCTCTCATGTTCACGACATCTCTGGGCCATTTTTTTTTTTTAAATTCCCAGATCAAACAGGCTGTAACAAAAGGCCCCAAATCCCCCCTCCGCTCTCCTCCTCCTGCTCTCTCTTTCCAAAATGAGTTAAGCCTCTCAGCTCCATCATCCTCAACATGGCTCGCATCAACAACCCTACGCTGCATCGCAAATGCTGCATAGCCTCGGAAATCCCCCCCCTCCATCTCAGACACTCCTCTTCAAGCCCCACCTAAAACCACTTGTGGATGAGTTCGGGACGGGGGGGGGGGACGGACAAAACTTCTCGTATGTCACTCTGAATTTGTACTTACAGACAAAACACAAAGTAGGCTACCCCAGAGTCACTGGAGTTTGTGATTTCACCCCCTCCTTCCTCTTTCAGTCGGATAACTGTTTGTCTTTTTGTGGGGGAATATCAAAAAGGCTGCCATACGAAAAAAGAAAACAAGAATCAGGCGAGGCAGACAGATTGGGACACGGTGACAGGAGTAAACAATGTGGAATCAGGCTGCTGTCCGCCTCTATCGCTCTCTGACATATTCAGGCCTTTCGGTCGCTCCTCGTTTCCTTCTGATTACCTCACGCTGCCCCGGCGGTTTACCATCGCGCTTCACAAGGTGATGATTCAGGATTTTCAATAACTTTCACTCCTTTCCCATTACCTTCTTCTTTCACATTTACACTTTGTCGCTCTTCCGCATACTTTCCTACTCTTCAAAAGTTTTCCGGCGACTAGCCCAACTTTTGAGGTGAAGCGGGGTGAGTGATGCCAAGCGCTAACTCCGGGTTATTGCCCTGGAAGGTGCTGAGCTTTAAGTGATCCTGTTTTACACACTTGTCAGTTCTCCAGGCTGGCAGGTCCTCGCTGCCTCCGAGCTAGCTGCTTATAGGGTTGTCACCAGAGCAGTTAACGTTAATCTAATGCTAATATTCATGTTTGCCAGCTCCTTTGAGTTAAAGATACCTGCTTGTCTTTTAGCATCCACTTCGTTAGCTTGCATCAGGCTAGCTGTCCTGTCACCTGCAAGGCTAGGGCGGAGATTGAATTCTTCTCACCTCAAGCTATAGCGGGGTCAAAAAAGGTTTAGCCAAAGCCAAAACGCCACACAATTGCACATTGCATCTTCAAACATTTCGGAAATCGAGTCCCAGTCCAGCAAAGCGTGAACAAAAAAAAAACTCATCAATTTAATCATCCCCCGTCAACAGATTCCAAGCTAATTATTCCAGCCTGTAATTATTCCATCCGACTGCCGTTGAGATCTCTTAGAGGCGGCTGGATTAGTGGATTTGGAGTATTAGCTGCGAGGGTTGGCAGACCTCTGCACTGTGATTCAGGGGGCTGAGAAACACATCTTCAAAAGGTACCTTGATCAGCACCTTCACAGGATCATTACACAGGATAAATCCGTGTTAAGTTGCTTAAAAGCGTGTAAAGGTGAGCCATGTTTTTAACAGTGACAGTTTAAACCACTTTGGAAGGGTTATTGTTTACAACTCACTTAAAGAGCTTATGTCAACTTGGGTCAACGTCAAGACCTGAGGGTAACTTCAACAGGTTGACAATTTAAATTGGTAGACTTCATTCATTGCAATGTCATGGCCTGTATTCAACTGTATTTTTTAAGCTATACTTCTTCCTTACTTTGTTACTTGATCCAATGTAAACTCTGGGATCAGATTTGGTAGGCTACGGTTCACACGCAAGGCTAAGGACCAATCCCAAATCACCCCATGAACTCCGTCTGTAGCCACACTCGCAGCTGAATGAAGTTCCCTCCATTAAGGGTTAAGGGTATAAATACTGCGGCAAGCTTTGGGACAAACTCCCCTCTCTCCGGCAGAAACAGGAAATGCTGTAACAACGGTTTTATCTCTTTGACAAAAAATGTAAATTAATAACTCAAATAAAACTCCAAACATCTTTAATTGTGTTACTTTTTTGTAAAACTCTTATAGTTTTAAACCTGATGTTTATAAGCTTCTTAGTGTTTGCAACAGTCTGTAACACAATTTTATAATAAAATGCACCTTTTTCTAGACTAAACACAGGCATGATCCTAAGTTAAAACATATGAGGTTATCATGAGGTTGTTAACATCGCAGTTTATCAGTGGATGTTTGCTGGAACTACTTGTTAACAGCGTGTTTCCTGAAGGACACACATAGCGTTGACTCCGGTCAGGTAGAGACCGGTCTCAAGTCAGCAACGCTGCAGACTCGCTGTTTGAGGGCTTGATAGCCCACTCCCCCTCCACACCGCTCCACACTCGTTGGTTTGGAACAGCACTTAATATGGCGGACCCTCCGCGCGAACGCGAAAACGGAGGGGGAGTGTGTAGGGGTAGGGTGTAGGGGATGATTTGGGATTGGGCCTAAATCAAAACCGAAGTTTACCAGCATTGAAAAGGAATTGTTTTGAGAGCGAAGTCGTGATGTCTGGAGTTGCCTGTCAAGTTAAACTATTTCTTGCTCATGCTCGTTAAAGACCCTACCCCTCCTCTGAACTCGCTCCATCTCAAACCACAAAAGTCCAAAATGAGAGAGGCTCATCCCGCGGCTGACAGCTGAGACGTTCTGAAAGCAGGTCGGGAAAGGTTAGAGCAAGAAACATGGAGCGGGGCAGTGAAAAAGACAAAAAGAATCTTGCTTTTTAATTATTTTATTAGGAGCCTTGATGCTATTAAATGCCCCAGATACATTCACCCTATAGTTCTCAATTAGACTTGACAGTTGCTGCATTACCAACAGTAAATATAGCAAAAGGCTGCGCCTTAGGCCAGGAAGGACCCCTAAGTATGACCCTCATATTTAATGATGAAAACAAGCAAGCGCACACTCTGCCTTGCTCAAGCAAATGCATGCATGGGTATGTGCACACACACCCACACATACTGTGCTGTGGCTCCTTATTACACAAGCACATTAGGGGGCTGTAAAAGAACAGCGTCTCTAGGGTCTATAAATGCATTACAGATAGTAAGGTGTAATCCTTTACATATTTTGACGGGGAGAGTTATTTTAGATTTAACAAGTAAGAAAGGACCGAAATATGAAGATTTTGTGTCCTGCTAAATAAAGTTCCCCTAAAAATGCAATTTATTTCCCAGAGCAGCGCCTTATTCAAACATATTTGTGTTCTTGGATATCCCTCGAGGATGGAGCCCTATGATTTGGTGTTCCCTGACTTTCACCCAGCTAGCTCAAAATGTTCACCTATTTCTTTTATTTATTTCACCATATCTTAAGAAAAAAAGGCAATTTTGAAATGTTTTGGTTTCCAGACATTGACGATCTCGACAAGGAAACATCTCTTACCAACAGCATGTTGGTGACCTTTCTCCAAGAAGTGTAACACAACCAACCAACACTTTTTTTCATTTCATTCAACAAAGCACGTTTGCTCATGGCAGCTACAGTATAGCTTCACACTCACGTCATGCCAGAGTCGTGTCCCGGCAGCAGCATCTTCTCCAAATCAGCAGCTGGGTTTGCCAGCTAACTCATTAGTTTGATTGCAAATAACTAAATAAACATTTAGCCAGCGCAACATTTACAGACACATAAAGGAAACATTGGCAACTGCCATTGGTGAATGCCATTTTCAATGAAGAGGCTGATGGCAGTCACCAAAGCAAATATTGGCCATTACCAATGTGTCCGATAAAACGGTGCTTCACTGGTCCTATTTCACTCTTCCCAATAAATGAAAGTGCTAACAAGATAAAGATCATTACGAAACGAGGCATTGCTGCTTATGGAAACAGTACCGTTTTTGTAACGTTAAAATCAACAATAGTTTGAGATTAGATCAAAACAAGTGTCAAATGGCAAAGATGTTTCCAGGGTTTAAAAGAAGTGAGATGTTTTCAATGATAGAAAACCAGACCACACAGAGCAAGTACAAAACAATGACACATGGTCAGGGGAAACAGAAATCTTTACTGGATGAGATTTTTACCTTCAGTAGTTTACAGTATTGTCAATCTTCACAGGGCTTTATACAGTCAAATAGAACAGACAGACAATTAAAAGGCAAAACTTATTTTGAGGTTTTTCTAACGTCAACAGTACCTAACAATGGTTAAGACCATCAAACAGGAAAACAAAGGCATTTTGCGTCATCACTGCAGCTCTGATTTGCATGTAGTTACAGTTTACATATTGTTTACATATCATCAAAAGTCTCTCACAGCACGGCAGCGAGTGTTGTGAGCACGGCCTGATCCCACAAAATTGTTAAATGTGATGCAATGTTTGTTTTAGCTATTCTCACTTAATCTCTTGTACCTGAATCATAAATTCACTTTTTCCAGGTACTTCTTTTTGTTCTAGTGTGTTGCAGTGACTGGACTTGTCTTTGGAAATCTTCACAAGTGTCTTTTAACTAAACTAAAATAACAAGTGAATACAATGAGGCAACCATTTCAAGGTCAGACTATGTAAAATTCACAGAGCCATTCTCACCGTACTGTTGCAGTGCTGCACATTTCACAAATGTAAGTCTGTACATACTTAAACACAGGTACACAATGGCGTGCTCGAACAAACACACCCACACCCACACACTTACATTCACACAGGCAACTCTCCAGGCATGTCATTAAGCTAGAGAGTACTAGAGTTTCCCATTGGCAAAGGCTCCCTCTTGGAACTGAGGGATGAAGCTCTTGAAGTACGCCCTGTTTAGAGGGAGAGCAGAAAGAGAGATATTGAAAAAAGAAACATCAAAATGTGACAATAATTGTTCTTCAAAGCAGTTGGGTCAGTCCCAGCTGTGGCGTGTAACAAAGTGCAGATGAAAGGCAGAATGTGTTTACTTGTTACGATTTCAACTGTGCAAGAGATGTGTACGCTCTGTGTTCGCGCTCCTCAGAGAAAAACACATAAGACAAAACTCAACCGCAAGTTAAAAAAAAATCAAACAAAGTAAAAAAAACTCAAACCAGCAGACTATGAGGTATTTAGCCACAGGTTGTGCGTTGAAGTGGGTGTGTGTGATCGTGTCAGGTTAGACTTCAAGGAAATTGTTCAATATTTTTGGAAAATGCTCTTTCCAAGAGTTAGATCACTCAAAGATCTCTGGGTTCAATATGTTGGTTAGCTTAGCATCAAGACTGGAAGTAGAAGGACTCAGTGTACAATTGTGCCTACTACTTATAGAGGTTTAATGAGGCTAACAAAAGATGTTGCTTTTGCTAGCCGTCTGATGCCCTGTAAGTAGCTTGGCATCTCGACTTGATGATGGAGGGCTAAGCTAGCCTGACTGTACAAATGTTTCAACATCTGTCTACTACTTATTTCTAGTTTTATGGGGAATGAACAGATAAATAGATAGATTTCTAGCTGGCTACAAAAACAGCTGGCTTTGTTAGCCAGCTAATTTCCATGTAAGTAGTTTTCTAAACAGTTAGCAATAACAGCTAATAATGAACCCTCATTTCTTTGTTCTGACTCAGAGACAGAAGATACAAAATAATTTTGTGTCTCTGATTTTTGGAAATATTTGAGAATAAGACTCCGGTAAAAAAAATACTGTTTTCCTTGAAACATTATTAGCTGAGCCTGTTGTAGTCAAACTCAGGCTGTAACAGATGGTAATCCAGAGAGGTTTGTCGATTTGTTGGTGGAGACATAGAAATGTACTAAGATAAACAAATGAGTAAAAACAGAAGTACACAGATGAAGAAAACTGATTATGTATTGCCTTCTGCACCTTCTCTATCCACTCATATCTTTCAAATATGTACAGCTGTTATTAACCTTTGCCGTGCAAAAGCAAACACTTCTCAGGCAGCAGCCGACGCCTATAGATTTACTCCTATGGGATCATACCAGGTTATGTTTATCGTAGGTGGAATAAAATCCACAAACAAAACAAAAGGGGCTGGGTGCAGGCAATGAAGACATATTGTACCATAAATCTAATTCACATCATACATGCTATTTAAAATAACTGTCTCGTATGACCTCTCGCAACATTGTTTTAGGATGAAAAAATCAAGTAGAATTTTGAAAATGCGTTTTTTTTTTTGATTTAATGAGACAAAATATACTCACTTGGCCCTCTTTGCCATTTCATTGCCATCCCAGCGAGGGCTGTAGGGATATGACTTCTGCACCTGAGAATAGAGCTGTCCGCTGTTGGTGAAGTGGTACACAGACTGGAAGGTGAGGGTGGGCTGGTCCCTGGGGAAGTACAGTGGGAGATCCACTACGAGGAGCAGAGAGAGAAGTAGTAAGAGTGAGTAAGGTCGCTGAATCCAATTCGAGCCACGGGAGATCAGAAACAGACTCCTCCAGTATGAATGTGTTTCCTACCATGTACTAGGAAGCAAAAGTCCTTCCACATTAGTAGAAGGGTCAGTTTTGTGAATCCCACTGCATCATACTCAACGACACCCCTGCAATACACAAATATTAATTTCTCACTGAGACTTATTTTATACCAACAATATTTCCTTGTAAAAGACAGGGTCAGTGAGTAAATGAATGGCTGCTGAACACATGCTGTGGTGACTTCAGTGGAGGATGTGGTCCTCTGCAGCTGACTCACATTCCAAAGTGGCTGAGGAAGGCAGCGATGTACTCTCTCCGCTTGTGATAGCCCTGGATGATATACTGCACCTAGAGAGAACAACGGGAAAGGTATCTTTGTTTTTAAATTGGAATTGCAACCTGTTCACTCAAATCTACATTGAAACGCACAACATGTGGAATTCTGCCACTAACGGTGTCTCAATCCAACGATAACCAAAGACTCAGTTTGGTGGCGTCCATTGCTTTTTAGCTTCGTCCTTTATTGTTCATTGTTCAAGAGGTTTCTACTGGAAGCCAAATTATCCGGAGTTATCATTCTCTCCAAAACAAACAGACAAGGTTATCAAAGCCGGTTAAAACTCTTAATGTTTGACATCAGTATTTCTCCGATGCAGTCTAGCTGACGCGAACACTTGAACAGTTTGTTTATCTGAAACTCAAGAACCAAATGCTGTTGAGTGAAATCCTTCATATGATTAAAATACATAGTTAAAAACAACAAAGACCGTACATTTGCGTAAAACTGAAAGTAATTGTATGACAATTTATTGCAGATAGCCACAATGCTAATACAATAATAAAGGGTCAAATAATAATTAATAATTAAATAATTAAAATAATTACATCGCCAATACAGGATACAAAATGAAACCAGAATAAAAAAGACCGTATCGATCTTGATCTAAAGGCACAATTACAAAATTGTTGGAAATATTTGTTAGAATATAAAATAACAAAATAAATATATAGTTCAAGTTTTTTTTACATTATTATATTGATATTCAGGTCAAACCAAGAGACACATATCTGTTGAACCTCAGAGAAGTCGCTGTAAAACGTTAGCAGATATTTGTTTTATGGTTATGACTTCCAAAGAACGTGCTCCAGTTGGGCCAAAAGCCAAACAATTAAGATACTATTGTGCATTCAAATCTACCCAGCGACACACCCAGAACTAAGATTGCACTGTAAATGAATATGTGCCAAAGGTCCATGCTTTGCTTCACTATATATCCATGGGGATTCCACAGAGATGAATACCATTCTGCTTATATACATTTGTCAGCATTTGGTCCATCAATTTGTAAAGATTTGAACAAAATTTGATATTGTTTTATTGGTAGAAAGGGACGAAAGACATCAGCAGAAGGGGAGGTGACTGTTTTTATTACATGATTATGGGTCTTCGCCTGGAAGAATTCCCCTGCAGCAACAGCATTTATGCAAACCAAACAAGAATATTGTTTTCAATCTCATCAAATGCATCCCCCTTCTTCCCCCTTCAGCCTTTTACACATGGCTTCAGGGTCGGTCTTGCCCTTAATTAGGCAATTTAGAGCCAGAGCTAACTCTCAGTGTGTGTACAGCCAGAGAGCAAATGTACATACTTGCTGAGAGGTTTTCCGAGAGAACCTACCCAGAATGTAAACAATGGCTCGGCCTGTACAGAGATTAAGAGAGGTGAACTTTTTAATGCTTGTTTTCACTTTAAAACCAAACGGCTCAGAGCACAAAAGTAGAATTACATGCAATTTTTGTACAGGCACATTTAAATGTCACAGTACAAAGTACAAAGTCTTTAGCTTACCACTTGACAGCCAAATAAGCTGGTGTTAACAGCTCCACCATAGAGTCTGTCAAATGCAACAAGAAAAGACTGTCTGCTCAAGGTACTGTGTTCCATTTGTATGCCTTTCTCCATTTCAGTCAACGTCTACATTGAGGTTTTATGTAATTTTTAAAAATCTCAACAAAAGACAGGCAACCTTTCAGAACTATGTGTATTTTTTGAAACTGTGTGCATCTCATTAGAAAAGGGCAAACACGTTGTTAGGCTTTTATTAAGGTTGATTGTCTTTGTAGTAGACGAGTATAACTGCCCAAAGCAACTGGTACTTATCAGCCATGGTATTATGAACATACTAAAAAAAACATGGCACCAGCTGGCTCAAAAGCATTTTCAAAGGCACATCAACCACCATGTACAACAACCACCAATGAGCAAGTTCATGGACCATCAATCCAAGAAGAAGGTTCTCCTCTTGTCAGATCATAACTTTGTTTTGACAGGTGTGATTAAGTATTATCTTTAAGTCCAAAGAGGAGAAGCTAAGGGCTTTGGTTGACTGTTGAGCATCCTGGACAGGTGAGAAGGCCTGCAGTCAGTCAGCCAGCCATGAAGGTGACCTCTTCTATTCACCTAGCAAGACTTAGCACCATGGCTATAAACATGGGCATTGCAGGCAAAGCTGAAACACCCGAACAATGAAAGAACCCTACAGCAGAATTCCCTCAGTGTTCAAATGAGGCATACATTTCCACCAAAAATAGCAATAGACTATTATTTTTCTGTTTTCAAGTTGGATAAGTTTTATTTTCTGTCAAGTTTGATTAATATTTATATATGATCAGCAGCAAGTTAAAATGACTGTTTCTGTCAATGGAATCTAGTGGCTTTAAAGAGAGTATATTAAATGTATGTTTTGTACATTAATAAATTATATAAATCGCTCAAATCCCTGTCGTTTCACTACAATAGTTTGTTAAAAAGTATTCTGGATCATCATGTATGTTTTTACTTCACACTTGCCAGGCGTTTTGCTGGGAATCCAAGTTAGTGTGTAGAGTATTGGAAGCATACAACTTGAACGGCATGCTGGGTAAACATTGCTCTTTGTAAATGTTTGTGTAAGCTTTTAAAGCCAAATGATGTGTTGCTTGAGAATACACTAGCATCGGTAGGGAATGCAGATATGTTACAGCATGTGCATGTTGTGTTTTGCTTGAAGTGAAACGTGGAGTGTAACGTTATTCGGCACGCACTTGTTTCAACAATACGTAATTTAATGTCAGGAAGGAAGGGTTTTAGTGCCTTCCACTTCCTTTTACCAGCAATAGAAGAGGAAATAGCCTCCTTAAACCAGGAATAGATAAGGAAATGATTTATAAAGGATGCACATTTTGTAAAGAAGTGCAGTTTCACAGTTCAGATATAGTAAACTGAGCCTCTGCTCCGTCAATGCAAGAATAATCTGATGGGAGTGCCAGCACATCTATAATGCATTAGAAAAGTCTGTATTGCTGATATTGATTATTTGAGCCCGCTCTTAGCATGTAGTAAAACTGTGTGGTTCATTCAGGGAAAGGACAGATCATGAATACAGCTAGAGACAGCACTGCCTTCCTGCTGCATGGTTGTGATTACTCATCAACCATGTATGAATGACGGAATTCTTTTTGAAAGAGGAAAGTGGTAATCTGTGATACGCTCAGTTGTGTGTGTGTGTAACGGGTCTCATATCTGCAAGAGCTCTTAAACAAGGGCGCACATTGTGACTCAGCATCGTGTTCAATTATGTTTACATGGGACAGTGGAGGCGGCAATTGAGCTTTCTCACAGGCTGCAAGGCCACATACTCAATAAGCTGTTTATCTAGTAACAGTGTGTGTGTAGAGGGTGGGGGTCTGTTTCAAGGCAACTGCAGATCACTGAACTCTCACACCCATACTGAGAAAAAAGATTTCCCTCCCCCGCTGGCACTGGGAGTTGAAGCAAAGGGTTTTTATTGGCTGCCTGGAGCTTTGAGTGACGCAAGACAGGTGATGTCGCTCCGCAGGTATTCAAACCGGCTGCACCCATGACTCGCCCCGCTCAACCATTTGTTGTGTGAGTGCATGGGTCTGTGGGGAGGGTGATGCAATAGCGCCGGAAGTGCTTCCTGCTGTGCGATTAGGAAATCTCTTCTCTGTTTCTGTCACATAAGCACTCACACCACCCCCTGCTTTCACATTATAAAGAGGGACCGATCTGATGTCTGACTACATTTAAAAAATGTTATGTCTTTTGGTTGTCTGATAAGATCCACATCAAAATATGAATACAATAGGAATATCATAATGGATACACATTTTGTTTTATTGATTTGACTGTAGCGATGAATCCTTCTATTACTTCATGCGGTTTGCCATATAGCGCAATTACTGGGGGCAGTACTAAAAGAGGTGAAAAGTACCCTTTTCATTTTTAGAAAGTTAAAATGTATTGTTTATCTGTTATTACTGATTTGCAAGGGAATAAATGTTTGGATTTTAAAGACAAGTATTATAACGTGTAAGGGATTTAGACTCTTAGCCTTTACGTTAGAAGCATTTTTATCACTAATTCCAAGTAAAACATGTTCTACCAGACCTTGTTGACTTATCTGTTGGCAAGAGCACCTAGAAAGCTAAACTCCTTCATTTAACACACAAGATCAGAATGTAAAACACCATTGAGACTTTTAAATTGAACTGAAAATCTTTTTCCACTTGCAGTCTCTTTATTGGTAAGGTGTCTGTCAACTTAGTAAGAAGGATGCCAGCATTGAGAAAATACCAGCTAAACATTGAAATATTAGACATGATTGATTATTATCTCAATAATATCTGGGTTCAGGTGTGAAGTGAGCCCTTGTTAATTCACTTTAAGACAAATGTATAGACCCAGAACCCACAGTATAAAATAACTATACATTTTATTTGACTGCTTTCATTATTAATTCCTCTCTGCTTCTCTCTCATAGGCCAATAACTACCAGACTAATACTATAATTTCAATGAAGCACTAACCATTAAGGATGATTTCATTTAAATGGTTTGAAAGCAGCTAATTCTTGGCCCTTCTGTGCGTTGACCACTTAGGCAAAAGAGGCGAAGTCCCGCCCATCTACTTCCGAGTCATGGGACCTTATTTCGGAAAAATTATGTATTGAAGTCAATGGGGAGAGAAAACTTATCTTTCGATCCCGTTTGAATTTTGCCATGAATTACACATATGATGTTTATCAATCTTAAAAAATCATTTCCATGTAAAAATCAGTTTGTAACTGTCGCGGGTGTCGGGAGGCTCTCGGGAGCTGCGAGCTGGTGCAGAGCATTCACGTAATGTAAACTTTTACTCTTCAGGAGTTGTCCGCGCACTTTAAGTAAGGCAGCCGCTCTCAGACTCCTCCCCCTAACTCTTTTACTCTTTCCGGTACTATCGCTGTCAGACATCACTTCCTCGCGCGAAGGGTAGTCGTGCGTNATCCCGTTTGAATTGTGCCACGAATTACACACATGATGTTTGTCAATCTTAAAAAATCCTTTCCATGTCAAAAAAGTCACAGTTTGTCGTAAAACTGTTGAAATATAAGAGTATGAAAAATACACAACTAGAAAGACTACAAATCCCAGAGTCGCGTAAGTGAGCACGTTAGTTAGCATTACAGCCGGCTTAGCCTTGTCATTTTGATTAGCCTTAACATGAAGTAACATTAAGTAACCACATGCTAACGCTAACGCTACATTAGCATATTTTCTACTTCATGCTATCTGCACAAATGGTTAACATTGAACATTAAAAAGATCAGGCAGTTCAGGGAGAATTTAAGGAAGGAAGGCAGGAAGGCAGGCAGGCAGGCAGGCAGGCAGCTTTGCATGACATTCTTCTGGACGTGTTTCATTGTTGTGATAGTGAGGGTAGTCAATCCCTTGTTTGGCAAGACAGTAGTGACGGCTATCTTGGTGACGTGTGTTGTTGTGCGAGACCAGAGATGTAGTTCATTGAGTGGTTTCACACAAAAAAAGTGTTACTTCACAGTTTTACGGCAACACTTTTTTTTTTTTACTTGCAAAATTATCCTTTAAATTGACAAACATCATATGTGTAATTCG